AGAACATCTTGCTCTCTCAGTAAGTACATTCTGGGATATCCATGACCCCAAAACCAAATTTCCTGAGATGTGTACGCCTGGGACTGTCTCGTCTCTTTGAGCCTGAAAATAACTCTGACCTCACAACTCTGAAGACTTAAGTTGTTCTAGCAATCACTGCCTAGCTTTCTCCTTTGCTCCTCTGAAGGTAACCTTTACTTTTGTTTTCTTTTTGGTGCTGGAGATCGAACCCTGGTCTTTGTGCATGTGAGGTAAGAACTCTACCTCTTAGCCACATCCCAGCCCTGGACACTGACTTTTAAAAACTGACTTATCTATCATCCATGTGTGTTTTCTATGGTTTACCTAGGTGCCAATTTCCCTGTGATCCTACTCTAATACACACTTGAATTCCATGCTCAGGCTTCAGTTTCAGCTCCCGAAATCTTTCTTCCCCTCTTACACGGGCCGTGAAGACAGCTTCTGTGCCCAGTGTCCAGTTGCTTCATCAGGAACCCTTCTGCCCTCAGCCCTGGCGTCCATGCCTTCTGCAGGTACTGCTCCTCTGCGGTCACGTCTGTGCATTCTGGGGGCATGGACAGATCTGTCCTATTTATCACAGAGGTGAGCACACAGTGCCCCTGCTTCCTGGTGCGCTTCCAGGAAACCCAGGTCTCTATTTGTAAACTTCAACTGATTTTATACCTAAACCCTGAAGCCCAGTCTGAGTTTTTGTTTGTTTTGATGCTGGAGGTGAAACCCGGGGCCTCACACAGGCCAAGCACAAAGGTACCGCTTAGTGCCACCCATGGCCCTTCAACTAGGTTCCTAATGCCCTCTTTCCATGAGAGTCCATCTCAGCCCTACATCCCTTGATTCCTATGAGATTAAAGCACCAGAATAAAGTACCACTTTTGAAGGGAACAGCAATACCATTACACACTGCGGCTTGACCTACTTATGCTTCGAAACCTATTTATCAAAACAACATCCACTGGCTTTCTTAGCTTGCTACGTGAAAGAGAAAGCAGATGACATTATGAAACCTTCACACGTGTGGTTTTAAAACCCCTAGAAAGTAATCTGTGTGTGAAAAAGTCTTGTGGCTGCCACTATGGGAAATAACAGTGGCTGGTTACTTTCATGTTCTCATGAAAATAAAAAAAATCTATGGCAGGGGAAAACCAGAAAATTTCATTTTGGGGGTTAGTTTTTCTTTTTTAATTTGGGAATGAAAACAGTGACTTAAAGTGACTAAAATAGGAATTACAAACTTAGTAATGAAAAACAAAATTCTTTCTTCATAGAATAAAGGTCCTCTTTAAACAAATCTTTGACCATGGTAATTATAAAACTAGCCATACTCTTATCCATGTGTTTTGGTGTTTGTTAATACTGACCTCCTCTCTACAAGTGGCTTATAATACCTGCTTTGCTTTCCAGGATTCTTGGTATTAACCCTTCTATATTAAAACATTATATAAACGTAACAACATGTTTATTCAAATTTGGCCTATTTCTCTTATTTACAAAATTTCTCCATCTTCTTCTGATCTTAACACCAACACAGCTGTGTTTCCAATGAAGATGCTCCCTGCACTGCCATGGAATCCTCCAGCGCTGACACTCCCATGTACACCAGTCCTTAGAAGTGAAGCTGTATACTATTGTAAGGAATCACGCATTTGTTGAGCAACACAGAATTTCATGCTAATTCAATATATTTTGATCCTGACCTTTTTTTAAGGTTTATTTAACCGGCTGGTTCTATGGCAGAGTCGCGCATGGCAGAAAACCAGTGTTCATGCCCTCAGAAGACAGCAAAGGCAATGAGAGAGAGAGACAGACATATTCTTTTTTTGATCCATTTAAACATTCCCTAATATATCTGTGACAGTTTTAACTTGATAGCTAATTCTGAAGGGGCAAAAAACAAAAAACAAAAAACAAAAACCCCAGCAAGTAGCTAATTCTGAAAATATACTCAGATAAACTGTGAGCAAACAACTCCTTAAGAGCTAACATAAACTCAGCTTGTTTCTTAGAAAAAGAAATCATGTATTTACCAAATGTAAGTGGAAGTATGGAAGAGCTGAGTCCACTTCTAGAAGGTTTTTCTTTCCGATACTCATTTCGTGCTAGACAGTGTTCAGTGCTGGGTCTAGATTTATCAGATGCCATCTGCTGTGCTGTAATTATCCTACTTCCTTTTTCCTACTCTCCTCAAAACCAAAACAAACATTTATAGAACTAGCACTATGTCCTGCTAAGGAGGCAACTCCCCGTGACTCAATCTTTCTGTAGCATTGTTTATCAGCATCTGAACTGATAAATCTTTTAAGAGTCAGGAGATAGAATAAATTATTGCCCAAGGCTTAAGTAAGGCACTGATAAAAGGTACTCAAATAAGAAGAAACAACATTAGATCAGGCAAGTCTTGGGTAGATGTGGCGTGGAAATCTATAGAAAGCAATCACTTCCTTGCATCGTGCTGGCAGAACTCTTGCCTCTGTCTAACGCTCTCTTTGCAAAGTACTGCCTCTGACTCGGTTCCATTATTTCCTGATTATTAATACTTACGATATGTATTATGCAAAAAAAAAAAAAAAAAGACAGAATGAAAACAAAATCCCTTGCAATTTCCATACCCAGAGAAAACAACTATTGATGTAAGGTTCTGTATCTTTCAAAGTTATTTTCTACACCTGTTGCCCTCTAACTTCCTGTTTTAACTTTCTGTGTGTCCCCTGGGTCATTTCTTTCATACTGCAGGATTCTCCTCCCACCTGTAGGGAGCGAATCACGGGCCTTTGTCCTAAAGCTAGGTCTCTCTAGACAAATCCACCTGGTGCCTCAAAAACATCTCTAACCCCAGACTCGTCATTTTCCTTTCTCCCTCTTCAGCTTTCTAACTTGTGATTTCTTGATTCTGTTCTTTTTCTCTTGCATCCTGCAGGGACCAGCAAACTGCTACTGTTTCCATGAGCAGAACGCTCAGAGTGCCCTTGGCCTGGATGAGGAGCCCCACCCTCCCAGGGTCTCCATGGAGTGAGGTCCACAGCCTCAGCAGCAGCCAGATGTTCCTCTTCTAGGGTCAGCCACCAGGACAGCAGCAGACCTGGCCGGGGTGACCCTGGATTGAGGTCTCCTGCTCCACCTAGTGGTCTAGACGGTGCCCCAGAATGGACAGTGCAGAGTCAGACCTTGAGAGCCTGCAGCCCAATGAAGAAAGGACCAGGAGCTCTGGAATTCGGTGGCTTCCTGAAGGTTTGACTCAAGCATTGCATCCTCCCAGGGAATGCCCCAAGCCTCCGAAACAGCCGCTCTCCTTATTACTCTAACAGAGCCAACAAATTACTGTGGTATCTCTTTTCTTACCCTTATCAAATAAAAATCACATAGTCATCTTTTTTCACACAATCATTCTGACCCAATAACTATACTGTCACCGATATCCTTCCAGAATTTTCACCAAGCACAAATAAATACAGCGTTGATTCATCTATGTAACAATTCTTCACCTCAATGCAACTGTAGGGCACCCGTTATGTTGTAGATACTCGAGTCACCCCAGTCTGTGACTGGGAGTCAAATAAATGCTGAAAAATGCAAATGGGCATTACTCTGGGCATGCACAGGGCAAGGGCAGGGGCGGGGGCAGGGGTGGGGAGGGCTTCCGGAAACACTGGGCTAATCTTGTGAGGTCAGGGAAAGCTGGTCAGGTAAAGATGACAGTTATAGCTCTAGACTCAGCAATGCACATGCAACGCGGCTACAGTGGAGTTTTTCACGCTACAAAGCGATCCTGGTGCTGCAGGAAGCTGCATGCAAAACAAGATACAAAAACCCCTTTCCCTCTTCCTCTTTTTGGAAATAACATTTTCAGTTTTAAGAGGAAGTTCCCTACCACATGAAGTTTCCTTCAGTTCAGTGACAGTGACAGACCCGTGTCCCATTCTGATAGCGTGAGGTGGGAAGGTCCCACTTAATGTGCCACACATTATTCGTTGCCCCTGCCCACTGCTGGGCTACGGACCACAAGTTTTGCCTGCGGATTTTTCAGATCTCTCTGTTGAAGCCAACCCAGCCAGGGAGCACTCTCGACCACCTTGGTGGCGGTGTTTGGTCTCTGATGAGCACTGTTAGGCAGTGACCGTAAACACAGAGACGAGATGGGTCTCCTCACAGCATGGCCGTGACCTGGAACTGGCTTTGAGGCCCTCTTTACTCATCTATGAGAGCACATTTCCCGTCCTGTGTTCACATTTTGTTCTCAGGGACTCTGCTCGGCTTTCTTTCCTTGAGAGCCTGTCATAACCTGCACATCACAAGCCCTGTCTCTGTCCCCACTCTTTGCATCCTCTTTAGGCTCCAGGCCTGATGGGACAGAGCACAAGTCTGAGATGGATGATCCCAGGAGAGCAACAAATAACACTCCTGCCAGGGCTACATACTCCATTTCTGATTCATGAGATGGGTCTCTCCAGGTAGGCCAGGCGGGCCTTGAACCCATGGCGATCTCTCTGCCTCAGCCTCCACAGAGTGCTGGGATTATAGGTGTGTGCCACCATGCCTGGCACCACGGCTGTTCTGAGAAATGCTGGAGCTTTGTGGATTTACTCTAATCTTTTTAACTAAAATGCCCAAACTTTTTATTATTTTAACTGACAGATGCTAAGCCATGGCCACTGTTTCCCATTATCTGTGGCTGATGCCAAAAACCATGGTCATTTCTATAACTCCTTTATGCATATGCCCATTCACATTAAGAAGTATATGTGTCTCTTGGGGAAAGTAATCCTTCATTAGATAAGTGTCTGTTAGCATAAGATACATGCAAAATACTGTGCCAGAGGCTGGAAGCACAGAGTTGAATGGGACATGACATTATTTCACTGTTATCCCTTTACATAAGATTAAAAGTATAGCAAGACCCTGGAGCGTTTAGTTAGCTACCGAATAAGCCATTATGATTACAGTAATTTATAAATCAGTCTTTTAAACATTATACAGATACTCACCGACACTGTAGTATCTCTTCAGCTCTGTACGCTTGATTTCCTTTAACTGGTTATTTTTCCTCTTTTTCTTCTCATCAGTAACATATTCCTCTTCCCCACCAATGCTGCACTTGTCTTGTTCCAAAATGACAGAATTAACATCGTCTTTCCCAGGATGAGATCTTGCAGCTACGCTTGAAGCTGTCTCTGCATTTTGTTTGGCTTGTTTTTTCTTTTTCAACCTAGGAATGGGGGAGGGCAGGGATCGGAGACATGATTTACTACAAGGAAGCCTATTAATTGCATCTCAGGCTTTGGAAATTATTTAATGGATACAGGAAATGTTTTTAAATATTTTAAATTAGATTTTGTTATTCTTTCATTTGTAATCACTTCAAAAATTCTTACACGTGACCCGCCGCCCTTCCTTAATTCTATAGTCACAATATTATAGCTCAAAAACAATACTGGAAACGTTGTAGGCATGTGCCAAAGTGAAATCGTCTACAGGCTATTAAAGCGGAGCACTCTAAGACACCAAGGCAGATAAAGCCTATTATAAAGCCATGCTTTAGACGTGCATTAAAGACAAGCATAGCACTTCTGGTTTTCTATGGCGCCTTTGCACTGATGGGCGAGCGTGCGGTAAACAGAAGTCCTCTGTCACAGCTCCAGAGCTCAGGGCCAAGGTTTGGCAAGACGCCCTGCTGTGAGTAACTCCTTTCCTTCATACACAAGACAAAAGCCCTGAAGCACGAGCACAAACTCCTGACTCCAGAGTAACACGATGACGATGCACAATTATCATCACTGTTACTAATAGCTGACAGATGCCTCCAGAAACATCTCTGGTGCTTTGTGTTCTTCACTGAGTCCAGATGGAGAAGATAGAGTTTACCAAATTCACGGAAGCCCAATCATTCAGAACACTTTACAGTGGGTGCTACACTCTGTAATTCAATGACGTGTCACCCTACTCACCAGTCTTTTCTTGGGAACCTCTGTGCTATAACAAAGCTAAACTCTTTGCAAGCAAAGGTCTCGGCTTTCCAGACCTACAACTCTGCAGTTGTAGTTAAGGTGGTGTTTTAACAAGGACCCTCTCCCAGGGCCTGGAGGTCTAGACATGCCTACTTCCTTCACCTTTCCTGACTCATTACCCATGATGCTGGGTAATGAACAGCACATGTGTGGGTTAAAAACGACATACCTGCAGGGTAATCAGGGAGGAAGGTTTGAATTTATGCTGCTTTTCTTTGTGATGGTGAACGAACCACTATCACAGCTGAGAAAGGTCTCTCTGAAGGCTCTGATTCTTAAAGAGTTCTTTTTTTCAGATCACTTCCTTTATTAGTGCATCTTCGTACACATAACGATCACATTCCTCGTGGGGAGTTGGTGTGAGCGCATAGCACATCTTAATTCCTTTTTGCATTCTTTCCTCCTCTCTTCCCTCCCCTATCTCTCCATCTCTTTCCCATTTGAAAAAGTGCTCGCTCTCTCTTGCTCTCACATTATCTATTTTTTATTTTGTTTTTTTATTTATACTTTGAGTTTCTCATGTAAGAGAAATCATGAGACACTTAAGCTTGTGTGTCTGAATTATTTCATTTAACGTATGGTCTCAAGCTGGATCTATTTACCTACAAATGATTTTTATGGCTGAGTAGTACACCCCTGTGTATAAATATATACATTTTAATCCATTCACTGATGGATATATAGGCTACTTCCAAGATTTAACTACTATGAACTGAGCTGTTCCAAACATGGGAATATCTTTAACCCTTTCAGGGAGATACCTAGAAGTGGACCCTCAGAGGTTCTGACCTCAGTCCAAGGACCTAAACTCCTGAGGACAATTACCTCACACATTAAACGTGGGATCTGCACTTCCTTAGCTACGGACAAGGTCTTTTATTAGAACCAGTTGAGAGACCACATGTCAACACATACACAAAGCAAACAAACAGAGAAATGCATCCCCCTAATATAGCCCTATCACATTCTGAGAATGAGGCAAAGAAAGCTAGCTGGATGGCACATTCTACATTGGGGATAAAGGTCCCATATTCCAACAGGACGTTTCAAGTACCATGCTACCCACTGAGCATCTAGGAGAAGCCAGGTTTAGAGATTTATTTTACATAAACTCCATGTCTTTTAGTTTAGCTGGCTTTTTATTGTTTAGTTGCTCAGAATTACAGACTCATAAAAAGGCATTCTTTCCAGTAAACATGTTTTCATTATCCTCTGATTTGAAACTATTCTGGTAAAAGAGTAGGTGGCTCTTTGCAAAGCTGTGTCTGATAATGCCTTTAATAATACAGTTTTCTCCCTTCAAGATTACTGGTAGAGACAGACATGAACCAGCAGCAGAAACAGACACCATCTCTGCACCCAGGAGGTGGGGCTGCAGGCTGCCGCCCCCCATCCAACACGGACCCAGGGATGGGGCAACTCTGGTCTACCACTAACTGACCAAATAAATCATTTCAAGAGAACCTTGGGCTCCATTCACGAAGTGATTTTTCTGGAAGGAGAGAAAATAGGCGTTGAAGATTAGTTCTATGCAGCCCAAACTATGCTGCTTCTCAATCTGAATTTTCTACTTTAAGTTCACTGCGAAGTCCTCATTTCACTCCCACAGTAATCAGCCTCATTCGGCTCCATGGCGCTATTTGGGGAATCTCATGAGAGACTGGTTTTTGCACACGGAAATAATGAGATGGGATACATCCTTTTACTGATTTTCTCCCTTTTCTGCACAGCATATTATGGCATGTACCATAGGTATTTGAAAAAAAAACAAACTTCCAAGTATGTATGGTCCTTGAAGATTTCTTCCTATGGTAAGAATAATCTAACATAAAAATTTTGTCAGAAAATTGAGCTTCAGTTTTTTAAAGAGGTTATTATGAGAACCTTAAGAGGGCTTTCTTCTAAGGGCTCCAAGGGAGGGGACAGAGGAAGCCTGTGTGACCAACGCCCCTGGCCTCTGCAGCCAAGAGGCAGGCAGTTATCTCTGTTTGCAGATAAGGAAGGTTGAGAAGCACAGGGCCATGTCCCAAGGTCCCAGGGCAGACTATAGCTGTGCAGCCAGAATTCAGAAGCCAAGATTCAAGGCCACTGCCACACAGCCCTCAGACCACCCCTTGGGGGTGCATCCCTGGACTGGAAAATGAAATGCACACGCTTCTGGGAATCCTGTGACCCCGCCAAGAAGGGGCCGACCACGAACACGGGTGGACTCCCAACTTGGGTGCCTGCAGGAAGGAAGGCTCAGACTAGACTGGGGCTCTGGCCTCTGGTCTCAGTCCTGCACCCTGGCCCCGTTGGCCAAGTGTGATAAGCTGCCTGCGGCTTCCCAGTAAGCAAAAGTGAGGAGCTGACTCCATTTCAAGGTCCTGTCTGGCTCCAACACTTCATACTTGGCAGGGACGGTTATGTAAGGTGCTAAAGCTGTTTTGATGTTTAAAAAAATTGTTTTTAAACATGGAAATGAACCCTTCCTAAGAATTCTGCATTTCCTGTGTTTTTATCCAAGTCTCAAATCTGAACACATTTTCCTTCCACTACAGAGCTCCCAGACCCTGAAAAGCACACATCAAAAACCAGGCAAATGAACAAAAAACCAAACTAAGAAAAGCCTCCCTGCTGTGCGCTAATAGCTCCAGGAAGAAATGTAGAAAATGTCAAAATCTATCAACCTTGAGGCCAACACAGTCTTCTTTAATACGTTTATCCTTAAACATTGCCTCTATGGGGAAACAACACTAAACAGTACTGCTTTACAAAGAACTGCAGTACTATATCAAAGAGGTAGAAATAACATTAAATAATAAGCATTTTAAAAAAACCTTACAGGGCAGTGTTACAGTGTAACTCCAATTTTGTGGAAAAAACAAACCCAAAATATAGGCCGATCCACCCAAAGCCGCGACTGTGGCTAGAGATGTGCACAGTGTTGGTAAAAGTGCAGAGAAATGGTTTACAGGCAAAAAAAGTTTTACATTTATCCAATTCGGTGTTGCTAAACTATCGAATACAGCAAGTACGTTTTACTTTTGTGATTCCAAGGCCAATAAACAACACAAAATTAAATATCAGCAACTATTCTTTCCCCTAGCCCAGCTCCAGGGGTGAGTTCCTGTGCTACACCCTTACTCCTCCCTCCATAGAAATCTGAGCTGATCTGTCTCCCTGGGGGGTTTTCCTGGTTCTGGTTCTTGGCTGTCCGGGCCACGACCTTGGCCCTTGTCCTGGTACTGTTCTGACCCTGAGACCAGGATGGTTTCCAACCCTGACCTTCCCATTTCCAAACTTAATGGAATGGGCTCAGCTCCTGGGCCCAAATATTTCCGTGTGAATCTTCCTTGGTTTACACATGCTCATTCTTGGGTAAATTACTAAGCGAAGCCTCAGTTCCTTGTCCTTGATATGAAAATAAATTCAGGTGGGTTTTCTTGACGAATAAAATAAATAGTACACAAAGGGTTTACTTTGATATTAAACTCAAACTACTGAGTTCACAGTAATACTTCAAAACCACAGGTTATTTATTTGATGTGCTGCTGCTGTGACTCTTACCTACCGGTTTCTGAAGATCCATGTAAATAAGAGACAACATAAAAAAACATGTAAGGGCTGGAGACATAGCTCAGCAGTACAGCGCTTGCCTGGCATGTGTAATGCCTAGCATTCAATCCCCAGTACAACAGAACTGAACCAATCCACAACAGAGCAAAGCATCTGACAAATATAAGACTTATAAGCTAGCATTCTTTTGGGGGGGTCTTTTTGAGACAGGGTCTCACTATGTACTTCAGGCTGGCCTTGGGCTCACTTTGTAGCCCAGGCTGATCTTGAACTTGCAAGGATCCCCCTGCCTCAGCCTCCTGAGTGCTGGGATCACAGGAGTGTATCACCACCACATCCAGCTCTTTTTCTTACTATACATAAGTCTTTAAATTTGGTATTAGTACACAGCTAGTACTAGTACCAACCCATTATTATTTCTAAAAGAAATAATTTCTTGTATTCTCTTGCATTTTGATTTTATAAAGATAGGATCAGTTTTTGGTCTCCACTGCATTACTTCCAAAAAATCAAAATTACAAGCTGATGGAGGCCAAATAACCACATGACAAAAATGCTCTCTTGGAATTATGGTCAAATACAAAAAAGAGTACTCATTGGAAAATCTGTAAATGTATCTGATTCTAGCATCACACTCAAACAC